ACCAAAGTAGAGCGCAGCTTGAGCAGCGGATTGGTGGTCTCTAAGTGGCAGCTGCCGTTGCAGCTGCAGTAGCGATAGCTGTGGTGGTAGGCAGCGGTGGTAGTCGTAGTGGTGGTAGTAGTAGTAGCAGTAGTTGTGACGACGCAATGCAAAAACACCAAAAGCAACCAGGTGGTGGAAACAGGTAGGTACAGAGTACATTGATAATCGTAGTGTTAACTACCGTCTCTGGGCTGAGTACAAGTCTGCTGTCAAGGCGTGATACCCTATCAGGTAGGGCCATAACAGTGGTGGTAGGTAGTGGGCAGTAGTAGTCGATTTTTAGTATTCAGTATTCAGCAGCAGCAATCGTAGTAACTGATTGTGCAAGGATCTACGTTGTAACCCTAACTCTACACTGTCTTCTCAACGAATACCATTCAACTTCCCCCCCTTTTTCTTTCTTTCTTTTTTTTCTTGTTTTCTTTTTTTCTTTGCTTACTAGCGTAGTTTTCCAAAAAATATCGCAACACTCTCATCAGGATCAAACAAAGCATGAAAACGACACTCTGGAGCGTCACGGCCGAGAAGCCGATCTCAAGAAAGAGAAAGGCGGAGTCCAACCTGTTGGAGGCGACCAAGAAGTCCAAGATACAGGAAAAGGGTGACGGCGACGGCGACGGCAACGCCAGTGACGGCTTGGAGGACTGAGAATTGTATCTTTACACTGACATTGTGCCTAACGCATACTGAGTAAATACACATTACCTGCTAGAGACTGATTACCACTGAAGCTCACTGCCCACTGCCTACTTCCCACTGCCACCGCCTCTTCAGAACCCAAGTATACAGTCTGTTAAAGAAATTCAATGAGAATATCACACCACCAGAGATGTCAACAATCAAGCCAAGCCAAGCTCCAGCTTGGCTTGCCTCAGCTTGATAGGCAAAAGCAAAACTGTCAGCTTGGCTTGGCTTGACTCAGCTTGGCTTGGTGTATCAAGCCAGCTTGATTGATGAGCTTGATGAGCTTGATGGTCATAGCGTCTTTTTCAAAGCTAGTTAAGTAGATAATATTAGCTATAGCTACAGCGACTATTCTTGGTGTTGAGTTTCGCTATCACTATTGATATCGCTATCCCACTTACTCAGCTCATACAACGTCTCTATACTATCATCACTTATAGTGACTTTTGAGCTAATATTATCGTTGCCTAAACTAGCTTTACGCCACCGTCGTACGCACTGTATCGCCGCCAAAAGCTGCGGTTGCATGCCTCGTCGGCGAGGCTCTAGTAGATCCCCAAGCTCACTGAACATGCGCTCACACTCGCAGCTTGACGCTGGTATCGAGAGCACGTCTAGCGCAAGCCTGCTAAGGCGTGGGTAACGATCTCGCATGAGTATCCAGTATCTTGTAGGGTTGTTGGCATATTTAGTGCCTCTCTCTACGCGCGGCTCGCAGTGTTTCCATTGGTCGAACTTATTATCTACTACTGCGTCGTTGCTAGTAGTCGCGGTATTAAGAAGAGCGTCAATCGCGTCGTCCATGTCAGTTGAGAACGATTTCGGGCGCTGTATTGTCGCTGGGGTAGTAGCTAGAGCAGTGTTATAGGTAGCCCATAAGGCACGAAAGGCCGCGGTTGTTAGTAGTGAGCCAGTCAGGGTTATCAGCGCTTCAACGACAGGTCGCAGTACGTTTTA